GGGGCGGCGAGCACCGGGGCCGCCCCCCCAGCCCCGCAGGAGAGCCCCCGGCTTGCTCCAAAGCGAGGCAAGGAGGTCCGGGCAAGCGGTGCCAGCTGCACGAATTCCCTTCAGTTTGCAAAGGTTTTCCCTTCACAAATTCCCTAAAAGCCTTCCCAGAGCAGCACTGAGAGCATCCCCCCAGCTCCTGTGGGCCCTGCGCCATGTCTCATCGGAGCCCCAGTAGGAGCAAGAGCTCCGGAGCGGCTCCTGATCCCACCGGGACCGTGGCCGCAGCATTCAGGGCTCTGGCAGCAGCGAAAAGGGGAGCTGGCAGCAGCGCCCGGCCCCTTCCTTTCTTTCCATCCCCTGCAGCTCATTTAAGGCCACCACAACCAGGGGCCGAGGGCCCAGTGCTACCCCTGGGGGGTTAAACGAAGCCAAAACCCCTCTGGTGCTCACTGAAACTCGGGATTCGCACCCTGCCGAGCAGGTTTCCCCAGCCTGCGAGCTGTTTACCCGGAGCTGGGACTGCTCGTAGGGGTGGAACCCAACCAAAAATACCTGGAGGATGAGGAGTCGGTGCAGCTTTTCACCCGCTTTGCGCACGGACAACGCTCGGATCCGGCAGATCCTCCTTCCCGACGTGGCCCAGGGAGCCCCTTTCTGGAGTGAAACCATTAGGTCACAGGCTGCCACCAGAAGGGGACACGCAGGAAGGGTGAACACAAACATCTTAGACCTCCTTCAGGAGGAATTAGGGAGAAACACAGCGATTTTGATACATACACTAAATAAATAACTAAAAAACAAAAATATGCTTATATAGAAATCCCTCCTACAAGAGAAGCTGGACAAGCTCCCACTGAGCAGCATTCGCGGCTCCGTCCCCATCTCCCTATGCAGCGCTCTCCACTTTTTGGAAGTGCTTGCTCAGAAATCACTACCAAAAAAGGCAAAGCGAACAGAACACTGGATTTAAGATAACTTTTATTTTAGTGTTCCACAAAACCAAAGGTCATTTAAAAACAAAGAGGTACCCAGGCTAAAAGCAGACAGTATAAAAACAGGAAAAGATACATTCGGATCCTTCAATAATAAAATAATACACTCGATTCTCAAGCCTCAAAGTCACCACTCTCAAGGTTAAGCATCTCGTTGGACATAAAATGCCAAACCCTTCACATCAAAGAAAGGGTTTAAGTAGAATTGCCACTAAAAGATTGAGGTACAAGATTCGTACAGCATTTTCACAGCTATTAAGTAAAAACACGGCCCGTACAGGACTGTTACCACAGGAAAGAACAAGCTGTGGGGCAAGAGCCAGGAAACTTGAGTCCATGTGACGAGACCAAGTCACAGCTGGCAAAAAAGCCACCAAGAAAGGGGATTTTAACGTTTTAAGGCTTCATCTTTAAGACTATTTTATGTGCTTGCATATCATTGTCAAGATATGAACCCTTGCCAAGAGGAACACACAGCATCAGCCCTGCAAGGTTCCTCAAGACGTTACCCCAAGAGCATTATACAGAACATCACAGTGATTGCAGCAGCCAAAGTAGTACCCATATTATTTTAAAATAAGGCCAGTAGAAAAACCAAGAGTTGACTCTTGCTTAACACGTGTCTACTTACGGCTGCTGGTATCATCCTGCTGGATTTCAAACCGTGCAAAGGCACTGCTGGTTTCTCTGAACCAGAAAGTCAGAAGGCTGTGGAATAAAGTCTAGAAGACAGGTTTATTAGTGAACTATGGACAACCATCCGGAAAACCCTTTCCTTCTAGAGCTCCACCGAGGCACACGGAGGAAACTGAAATCAATGTTTCATCTCCCTCCCTGTTTCAAGGCACGAGCAGCAGCTTGCAGTAATGCCAGCTAGTACCATTAAAACCACCAGCCAAGAGCTGTAGCTGCTGCAAAAACATCTGCATTTCAGACCCTTCATTCACAGAAGGGAGTATTGTAAAAATAAAAAACTAAGATACCCCTTCACTGAAGACATCTGCTCAAATAATTCAGCATTCGTCTCTATTAAGTACCTGGAGCCTTGTAAGACTCTTAATGCTTAAAGCAAGAGGCTTATTTCAACGCTAGCTTCCCTTGAAGGAGCTGCATGAGAAAACCTTCAACTGCTGACCCACGCTTTGATAATTAGCCTGTTTACAGTAACAAATGTAATTAACGGCACTTTCTGGATTTTCCAAAGAATGTATACATCTCTAGGCAAATATATTAACTACTCTTCACTACAAAAATACAGTATCTGAGAAGCTTCCAGTAGTTTTCAGTGTCTCGTGACAAGTCAGTAGTCAATTCAGCCAGGCTCACGTCTTGTTGAAGTGCTCCTCTCCTGAACTCCAAACCACAAAGAAAACCAAAGCAGATTGGAGAGCATTCCGACTCCCAAAGGGAGGGTGAACTGCTTCCTTCCTTAGATGTATGGAATGTAGGAAGGAAATACTGCAGGACTGATCACCTCTGAAAGCTGCTCCAAGGTAAATCCCTGTTCCAAAACCCAAGCTATTTAGAATTAATAAACTGCTATGGAATAGTACCATAATCAGAGCTTTCATACAGCAAGAGACATAGGCCAAAAACACGTACCAGAAATAATAGCTTCTATTTTACTACACATTGGCCCAAGTCACTAATATTTCCTGGAGAACACCCTTGAAACGGTATTTGTTTATGCCAGTAATTTAGTTTTGTTTCCTTTCCAAACTAAGGGTTAACTTGCTCCTAATTGTTAGGGCAGAAACGGTTTTAAAAAGCAGCCCAAGCAGCCTTATTTCAAGGCATTGGATTTCTCCAGTGTAGTTACTCAAAGCAAAGCAAAACCTCACACTCTACTGTACCAGTGCTACATTGCACTACAACTTGCAGTGTGGAAAGAATAATTGATCATCAAAGTCGCTAAGAAATAAACAAAAAAACCTTCCTAAAGGATCATCAGTGTCTTGCTGGCAGGCAAAGCTTATCAAGCCCCTTCCGCCTTGTTATCCCAATCAGCCTGCGGATTCGATTCCTTAAATCTTCCCATTAATAAAGAGATACCAAAAATAAATGAGTTGACTTCATCTGGGGATTCCATACATAAGCCCTGACACAACCACAAATCAATCCGAGAGTTGCTCAAGTCAGAAACAGGAAAAATGTCATTTCCTGTGGGCAGCGCTCCAGTACCACCTACTTCACATTGTCTCCTTATTAATCCAGCTCCAGAGGCTGGAATTCAGTCCTTTGTTCCAAGTGCAGGGAACTTTTATATCTTCCCAGCTTTTTTATTTCCCGAAGTGGGAACACGCAGGATGTTTGGGGTTTCCTCCATCACTCTGACGAGCAGGTTATCGATGTAGTCTTCGAGCTCACGCACCTGCAGTTCCTTCTTGTTAATCGTGTCCTTCTGTTTCAAGACCAGCTGGATCAGCTCGTCGTGGGTTAACTGAGCATAAGCATAGCCAGGATCCGAAGGACTGTATTTCTTCAAGAGAGAAGATAAACAGTCACTGTAGGTCACCTGCTATTGCTTAAAACACACCAAAAACTACAAAGGCCAAATTCAGGTTAAATAGCAAGAAAAATTCAAACGGTCCTCCCAAATTTCATCCTTAATTTGTAGCAAATCATATCATGACAGTTTCCCCTAAACATCTGCTTTCAATTTATAAGCAAACCTGACAACTCTTAGTAGTTTCTGTCAATTTGTCAAGCCACGCTCTGAAATGCGGAACCAGAACCTAAGCAACACTTAGTTGGGTAGTGAGAACCCAGCCTACAGGCTCAGGTGCTTGCAACATTAAGGGCAATTCTGAATGTGCCATCACCAGTTATAAGTTTTCAATCCATGTAAAAAAACATGCCCATTTAAACTTGTTTAATATTTAACTTGCATTTTCTTCTTTTCCATTTATGCCAGGAGGAGGCACTAGGGCTATTTTGGTACTACCTCTTTCTAACACCCCCAAAAGCTCCTGGACAATCATGGAATCCAGTGTTTTTTTTTCCCTGAGGACCCAGAAGTGCTTCTTTGCAATACAAAATTTAAGTTAGGAGTCATTTTCTCCCTTCAAAAAAGTTTTACTCACTTTACAGAAAAGAAACAGATCATGCTCCCTGCCCCCCTCACCAAAAAAGACTAATTTGGGATCTGCAGAAAACTTGTCAAATTATACAGCTTGTACACATCCTAAAAAGCACTTCCCAGTTCTCTCCACTGAGAATTCCCTGTACAGACAAGAGGCTTTGACTCTATTATAGATTAATTTGCAGAAAAACCATTTGAAAACTGCCCCTATCACCAGTGTTCTCCATCTGCTCAGACAAACTACCACAAAAACATGAACTTTGCTCAATTTAATGCCTGGGCTTAGAAAAAGTGTTGCTTTCTACCATACCTTTGTGCTCATCTCAAGCAGTTTGTCATTCATAGCGCTGATGACGTTCGTATTTTTAGCTTGAGACTTGCTTGTGATGGCATTCATGGGCTTCACAGGCTGAAGCCTGTAAGAATAAAGAAAAAGACATGTTATTTAGGCAATGTCACACTGACATTATACAGCTCTTCTGGCTAAAAAAAGATCGACTGACTAAAAACAAATATAGCAAGAAAATTGGGAAGATTTCAAGTAACCTCTCAATTAAAAAAAAAAAGTCAGCCTCAGTATGACAAGGCATTTCTGTTTAAACTACAGGCTTTATAAAGGTAAACTCCACTTCTCTTTCCACTGTTTTTATTGACTTAAGGCATCCAAGATAAGGATGCAGTAACACAGGAAATCCATCCCAAAAGCACGTTATAACAGAAAAACAAGGTCAGTCTTCACAAGAAGGCAATACATAGGAGCAGTTACTTTGGTCTTTTAAACAGGCTTAAACATTAATGCACAAGGACATGTTTGTGCTTCTTGCAAAATGCCAAATACTTCTACAGTCCTGGGACAAACACGAGTTCTGTTTTGTACTGGCTGAACTGGTGCCATAAACTGCTAAAAGAATCTAGGTAAAACCATGCAAAGAGGATTTATATGGCCAGATTTAATATGGGAGGAAATTTACTGCAGCTCCTAAGAGGTAGCGTTGTCGTTATGGTGCATCACTGCAAAATAAATACGTTTCTGCAGCTGGGAAGGACAGATCCGTGCTCGCAGGAAGGAAAAGCAAGGCTCACAAGCCAGCACTGGCACTTCCAGGTATTTCCCACATTCTCTCACCTGTGCTTGGGAGACAGGGGCTCACCACCCTGCTGAGTTTGGCTAGGATACGTTTCAGAGGGTGAAACCCACGCCCGGAGGAGTTTCCTCTTGCCGGAATTCTCGGCTTTACCAGCGGAGCCCTCTGCTGTTGGCTTTGTTGGAGACTCTGCTCTATCACTTTGCGTGTGAGAAGGGAAGGAAGGAGAGGAAGAGTAAGACTGGGAAGAGCTGGACACAGAGGAACAAGCAGCAGGAGGCTCGAGGAGCTCACGCTCTGCACTCTCATCGACACCAGCGTTTACTTTTAGTTCCTGTCTCTCAAAGTGACTCTTAGGCTCCCTGGAATGAGATGTCACACCTACGAGGGCTACCTTATTTACACTGCAAACACCCAGGCTTGCAGGTAGCACAGAATTACAAATACCCGGGGCACTTCCGTTAGCAGGCAGAGTTCCTGAATGCTCTTGTAGCTCTTCGCTCAAAGCCATGACATCTCCAGACTGTTTCCCAGCCTCCAAGAGGCCGGCATCATCATTTTGGTCCTCCTGAGAGTCTTCCAGCAGCTCTTCATCAGAGCCTCCCTCTGGAATAACAGGAAGACCGGCCCGTTTCAAGCCGTGATCTCCAGCAATCGGAATGGCACACTTCAAATTTGCAAGGGTGCCAAATAAATCTTCCCCCTCATATTTTAAATGCCTGCTGTTACCTCTAAGGGTTATTGGTGGAACGACAGTTTTTAATGACCCATTTGCAGGGGCGCATCCGTGCGCGCTTGAGGGCTCCTCGTTGGGAAATGGAAGCCCAGCAGCAGATTTTGCATCGCTGTCTGAAGGTAACACACCACCACTGAGCTCGTCAGTCTGAGACACCTTCAGCACCAAAGACAGTCTTGGTGCTGGTTTTGGTGTGACAGACACGGAAGGAGCCTCCCTGTCAGTCCTTCCTGGATCAGGGGGCATCATGCAGATGCTCACGGTTGGTTTGGGAGGTGCTACTTGGCACAGAGAGTCACTTGTATCAGGAGCTGCTTCGGGGTCTAACATGGGTTTAGGTTCTTCCATTCTGTTCTCGATAAAGGTTTCCTGCTTCTCGTTTGGCTTGTTCTGCGCAGGAGGTGGCTGTTCAGCACCGTTCCCAGGTAAGAGGTTAGCACCACACTTTGAGAGAGAGGCAAGACAGCTGGTGTCCCTAATATAGGGGTGTGAAGAGCTCGATACACTCTTTACATCACTGATTAGAGCCACGTCTGAAGAGCTCCCCGAAGCCCCATGAAGAGAGTGTTTCAGATTAGCAACGTTTTCTGCTGAGGAACAGTCTTCCTCACAAGGAAGCGAGAAAGGAGAAGAACCAGCAACTGTTTCGAGACCTGGTGCATCTAGTTCCTGCCCAAGCTTGCACACAAAGGGGTTATTGTTGTTAAAATAAGAGTCTGAACAAAGAGAAGGTGCCCAAGAGAGATCCGAGGAAGCACAAGCTTTGGAGCTTTCAGAATCCTGACCCTGGGAGCCCTGTCCCCATTCAGAAGTAAAAGGATTATTCCCATTACTAGAAATCTGCACGGAAAGAGATGTTTTGGGAACGGAAGCTGAAAGATGAGGAGGTAAAGAGAGAGTGGCAACGCCTTCAGAATCCAGCGCTTCGGATTCCTTGCTCCACTTTGAAATAAAGGGGTTCTTGCTACTCAAAAGCTCTGCACCAGAAAGAGGAAGAGGCTCAGAGGAACTAGTAATGTTTTCAGAGTCTGGCACTTGGACTTTTTGTCCCGTTTTAGAAATAAAAGGATTATTGTCACTACTGATCTGGCGTGCAGAAAGGAAAGCAGAAAGGGAATCAGGTGCAAAAATAGAAAGCGTGGCTTTGGGTTCCTCCTCTGAAGTCACGCCCAGTCTGCAAAAGGGACAAAAAACTGGCATGTCACTTGCAACACAAGGCAGGAACAGACAAGCTTTAGCACCAGACTCCAATTCCTAACACACCGGAGATGAATTAGAGTGCAAGAGGAGCCTAACAGACTTAATGATATTTAAATTATTGTTTATATCACCTTGGGTTTATGTCAGAACACTGCTGGTGCAGAGATTGCACAACTGGATTACTGTGCTGTCTGCTTATAAGTAACTATCTCCTTTTGCATGCCAAGCAGTTTTATTAGTAAAGATGCATATGCAAGGCATTTGAATGCAAGAAGAGTCAAAAATAGGATGTTAAAGACAGATACAACACAGCCATATTAGTAGAACACTGGTTCTTGCATATATACACACACGTATGTGTATATATCTATATATGAAGGATCACTCGTGTGAGAACACACACTCATATATGAAGGACACAAGAGCAGAATTTCCAAAAAAGCCTCCGTGTACGAATTCCGAGCTGTACTTCACGTTGCTGTGAACGATGCCAAAAGCAGAAGGGCTCCAAGATTAACTATTTTGAAGACCACAGCACAGGAGAAAAAAACAGAGATGTTAGAACTGGTATTTCAAATCCTGAGCATGTTCCAAACCACACAGTTTAGGCAGAATGTTAGTTTTTGCAAAAGATAAGAGCGAGAAGAGTTATTGCTGTAATAACTGAAAAGGTATTTGCGAGCAGAAAGAGCTGCTACTTCATCAGAAGTTATGAGGAACATCCTATTTTGACAGAACTCCAATTACTACCTGCTATCCACGTGCCCAATGTCTAGCATTAAAAAAAACAAGAATATTCTACCAAGAACAGTCCCTACAAGCACACAGCACAACAACTTCAGGTGCAAGCAGTCCAGTTAAAGCTCCTGCACTTATCTATTTATATCAATAACTCAAACAACCAGGACTGACCTTGGTTTGACAGCTTTAGTCTGGGCTGTTTTTGCCGATACAGCAGCCTTTTCAGATTTCTGGTCTTCTTCAAAAGGGTTGAGTGGTTGCTTATTTTTGAAGATTTCTTCTTCATTACTATTGTCAAATGGATTTCCCTTGCTTAAATCTGTTGGAATTTCAAGATGTTTGGTCTCTTTTTCACTTTTCCCCTCTGAATCTTTGTTTTCTTCCTCCTTCAAAGTCCTGTCTGGAACACTTTCAACATCACTGTTTTTCACCATTTCCTTTTTCCCTGTGACCAGAGACAATAAGGCGGATTTTTTGTTGTCCGTTTTTTTGCTCTCTTTAACATCAACAGTCAGAGGAACATGGGTCTCCGTGTAATCCTCACTGCTAAGCAATTTATATGATGGTAAAGTCATAGATTTAAAAGTCTCCAGTGATGCAGACCCAGATAAAACACCGCTGGGAGATGTTCTTCCCGTCTCTTCAGGTCCTTTTGTAAATTTGGAAGCCAGGTTCTCTTCTGAAGCAAAGTGCTGCTTCCTCCTGAAGTTGAGAGGGGACGGGGAAGAGGCTGGAGTGTTGTCCTTTGGGGTGTTCTCTTCCATGTAAACGTGACTGCCATTGATACACAAACTAGATTTGGAAACGGGATCGCTTTTAGATTTAAGTCCACCAAATAAAGAGAGACCTTCTTTCTTGGTATTGCCGGTCGTTATCTGATTGAGATGTCTACTGTCCAAAGTTGTTATTTTATGAAATTTAGATACAGGAGATGACTTCTCTTCAAGGGTGTTTCTAAAGGTTTCTAGAAAAAATAAATGGGGAGACATTCAGGGCAAAAGAACATCCATTCGTTACTGCATTCACAGCACTTCACAACTCCCCAGCTGATCACAAGATTCCAGCTTCCAAATCTTTGGATCCCTTACCCCGGAACCCTTCAGTGTATATCTCACACATACCTTTCAGTTATGCAAAAACCTTAGAGGTCTCTTGAAACTGTACCAGCACCTAACTAATATTTTAGAAAGTGTCAAAACTGCAAGCAGAACTGCAGAAACAAAGAGGCTTGCACTTGATCAGTGCAACAAGCACAAATACTCACTGTCCGAGGTCGGAGACATCTCGGATTCCTCATCGTCCCATCTCGACTGAAAGTCACTAGGTCTAAGCCTAACTTTCTCCTTTGCAGGCGGCACCGTAGGCAAGACTGACATGGACTGGGACAGAGAAGTCTTTTGCAGACCGGGTTTGGAAAAGAGCGTTTTGAATTTCAATTTCTTCTTTTCTTTCTCAACGGATTCATCTTCGCTGTCAGCCGGGGAGTGACTTGTGCCCGGAACGATCGCTGATGCTGTGTCAGAGAGGCCGCTGCTCCTCTTCCCTTTGAGCTTGTCTTTGAGCTTGCCAAACGTGGAGCGAGGCTTGTCCTTCATGGACAAATCAAACATACTGGCTGTCATGTTGCTCCTCATAAACTGGATATCCACTTCAATCTCTCCTCTCTCCTTTTCCTTTTTCCCTGGTTTGGAGCGCAGCTTATACCACCTGCAAAAAAGCAAGGGCAATTATTATATAAACAAGATCTCGGTAAGTGCAAAGAATTTTGAGCAACAGATATTTGTGTTTTAAGAATGAAATAAGCCTATGCATTAAAAAACAAAGTGCCTCTTACAAATGGGTCACAATCATACAATTCCAGATGCCAAAGATGACAATTTCTCATCATAAAGTTATTAGTGAAATTTGTTTTTTAATGCAAACCAGGAAGAGGCAAAAAAAAAGGACACCTAACACCAAATCCACATACTTCAGCTAAACCACTTCTCCTGCACTCGTCTGCCTTCCCGAAATGCAGAGAGGTTAAGAATTTGAAGTGGGTGTGTAAGAAGGGGCCTCAGAGCTAACACAGCTACTAGAAAGCTTGAGCACATATCCCACACCCTCATACCTTTCATTCCAGTGTCTTTTCAGCTGCTATCTCAGTGTTTCTTTAGCTACCAAACCCCTTATCAACAGGGCAAGAACCAAAACACATCACAGAACTTCTGGGGCTTTTCATTTACCTTAATGAACTAATAACTGGATGGCATCAGGAACAACATTCATTACTGACAGAACCATGAGCATTTCTGAAATACAGTTTCAGAATATTAAGGGAGAGCAAATCGGGGTATCTAAATTGCTAGAATATTCTCTGCGTGCAGCTATTACACTTACTCAATTACCACTCTACATGTTCTACTTAATGACATTCAAACCACATTAGAACTAGATGAAAAAAAATAAAGTTATCAACAGTATCTACCAGCACTTTGTTTATCCCGTGCCAGGAGCTGCAGATTCCTGACTCCGCAGAGCTGATAGGAAAGGCAGCTTGGAAAATACTGGGTTTTTCCTCCCACAGCAACCACTGAATTACAATAAAGAAACCAGAGCAGGCAAATCTACCTCCCCATCAAATTTGTACCTCAATACTTTGAAGGTATAAGGGAGGCAATGAAAGTGAGTAGTTTACTTCAAGAGTAAATTCAAGTAAATAAGCATTAGCTTAAGATTGTGTGAAGATAGTTCAAGAAAATTAACTTTAACATGGCCAGCATTTTTAAGAGGAATTATGCCACTATATTCATTTAAAATTGAGTTGCAGAAAGGAAATAATGTTACTAAAACTCCTTCCAATATTATATGCAACTTTAAAATACATATTTTTATCATAAGGAACTGGCATTTTCAAGCCTTGGAACAGCCACACGACTCCAGAATGAAATGAGTGACTTTTGGCAAGCAATCAGCATTCTGCAAACTATTTCTGCTTAAACAGATTTCTTTCGATCACTTAAGGCTCAGTTTTAGCAGCTTTAGGCTACGCCTGCACGAACAGAACATCGCTCCTACACCTTTAAGTAACTCTAAAAGGTCACCTCGTGAGTACAACAGTCTCCCACAGCCTTCCTGTTTCAAAGAAGCCTCCACATTTCTATTTAAACACAACACGACTGTCTAGGATTGCTCACAGACATGGGATTATTTTGTGAATTGCAAGTAAATCCTCTAAAGGAATCCTCTGCATATACAATTCCTTCAGCCCACATTTGAAATAAGTCAAAATAATTCAGGAGAACGGCACCTGCATTACTTTCCTCATTTCCTTTTCAACACTGCATTTGGCCATAAAACCTTATTAACTGGATTTGTTACATTAACATGCAGCCTGTAATTAACCCGCATTTATTTTCCAAACAAAACCAGCTCCTTATGACTATTGGCCATCACAGCAACTACATAATGACAGAAAGGGCTTCGAGCAGAAAAGGAGGGAGCGATTCCTCAATTAGCTTTTGGCTCAGACAGAAAGAAAACAGCCCGGATGGAGCCTCACGGGGCTGCCTCCAGCCTTAACTTTGATGACTGACGGCGCATTAGGCCCCACGTTGTAAACACATTAATGCCCAGCAGCCTGTAATGAGAGCTGCGTCGTAATTAAGACGTCTCGAGCAGCATTAGTCGGCTTCATCAAGGACCAACGCGCACCTTGACCTGGGCCAAGCTGCTGTTAACGCCTGGTTCTGCTCAGGTGAGCTGGGAGAGGAAGGTGACTCACGTTACAAACACACCTCGTAGCAAAGCAGTCCCAACAACCTTCCCTACGGATTTTAATGCAACCCAAAAGCGTCGGCGGCAAGAGGTGACGCAGACCTGGAGCTGGGAATTGCAGGAAAACTCTCCCGATTTGGTACCTCGCAAACAATAGTTCAGCGAATCTGCACAATGCTGAATTATCTGTTCTTAGCCACAAACCAGCAACGTGTTTATTAAGATGAAACTAAAGAGCCGGCTCGCGTGGGACTTTCCTTCTCCTCCCGAGCTGCTTTAGTCACTGCTGCTGCTCCGAGCACAGGCTGGCCCCACTCACACATCATTATTTTA